GCGTAAGAAGGAACATTAGATCCTGCACGATAAGTGTCAATTTACGGTGCACTTAATGGAGACGTTGAGGGCTTGATTACAGCGTTGTCGAGCGGTACAAAATTATATTCCCGGCATGAGAATGATCGAAGTAAACTGTTATGGGTCTAGATCCGTATCACTTCCGAGGATCAAGGTCCGCATATTGACCGCTTCAATAAAATCGCTCCTTTTTACTTACTCACGAAGTTAATGTAATCTTTATTATTACTCGAATCGTTTTCCACTACTTCCTTTTTCGTGAACTTGCTCTTACCGATCACTCTGTTAACGCTGAAATTGGAGCAGCACGTGCGTAAGGTAATTCCATATTAAATACAACTATACAATGATTCCTAGAAACTTGATTCTGTCCTTTGTCGAATGGAAAATTGTTTCCCAGCTATCTAGCAGTCATGTCAGAACCACGAGAATGTCACTTTTCATGGGAATAATCATCAAAAAGGACCATCCAGTTTCTATCGTAACCCATACAAAATACAAATGTCGCATAAATTATCGCGATCCTGTCGCGTTCTTTCCCCCCCCCCCCGCGAAAGTAATTTGCATGCAACAGGAGAAAGCACTCTACATTACAAAATCAATTTCACTGATTCGATCTTAGACCAAACAAAACCGCCGCCATGTCTCTTACGTAGTGTGTGACCCGATAATTGGACCTTGGTTCGAAAAGAGATTCGGCCGATTTGTGAGCAGACGTTTCCCTCTTAGCGGTCTCCCGTTAATGTTACCCTAGAGCTTTCCTAAACCGCACACGTAACGATCCGTCATCTGGTCGACGAACGTATTCCTCCCGTCCCAGAGATAAACGAGCCTCTCGTGGCTCGGCGTTCGAGTCATCAAGGCGGAAAGTGAAATCCAACGACGCGGTAGCTGCGTGGTCTCTTAAGGTCAACGACTGAAAATTGTTTTCGCACACTGATTAATTAGTACTCTAATCCGCCAGGGCCACACTGGATCCTTCCATCCTGTACGGATCGCTATATTTCCCTACCGTTGAACGATGGCGCAAGCTATTCTTGTTCCCGTGACACGAAGGCCATTCTGGTCGCATCCGCGAGATAAAGGACGGTCAGGAGAATTAAAAATTCGACATCCAGGGAAATATATCGTTGATTATTTATTTATTTATTTTTGAAATGCTGCCACCGGCATGCGAAGGCTACCGGCCAGTTTTGATGTTTCGGTTGTGAAGCTGTTATTTTTCACGAAACAGCGTCTCATCGGGTGAGATTTTGGCATACACGCGGTGTCTTTCGAAATGTATGGCAAAACCCGGAAGCTGAATCTTCTATAGGAACTTTCGTTTTTCGAAAGAATCAACACGTAGGAAATAAATCCTCGGGTGCCTCCGAATATTTAAAAAAGAAATTAAACGCTGCGTTATGTTTGCTTGGACTGTATTATCACCTGTATTTAACTCTACAGAATAGTATAATCACAAGGTCTAGGCCAGTAGTGGCGATCCTTTGTAAATGCGCGTTCCAAAAATTTATAAACAATATTTATTTAGTTGCTGACGTGTCGAGCAATTTTTAATAGAGATAAATCTAATAAAAGAAATAATTATTGGAGACTTGTACTGAATGAATTTTGAAAATTAACATAAAATTTCATGAACTTTAACCTGTAAAAATCGATATCAATTATATATTAATGAGATTTCTTATTCGTTTCCTTAGTTTAAAACAATTGAAAAAAGAGTCAGAATAATTTATAATTGCATAAAATATCACCGGTATATCACGTGCCAGCAAAATTTTCATAGGTACCACCACTAGCACGTGTGTCATACGTTCGTCATGTCTGGTTTAGGCGTTAAAGGGTTAAAAGATTTTCAATCGCTTCACCGCCATGTTGCTCTCAATACTTCGGTTCGGAATAGCGTTGTGCATGATTAAGCCCGCGATCAACGCGTTCCACTCGACTGGATAATAGTCCAACCCTGAAGTCTCTGGTGCACGCACATGTAACTATCACGATCCCCGCTTTAGAAGCCGATGATGAAACACGCGCCTCCACGCCTTCTAAATTGTAGGTGCGCGCGAAAGATCGCGCTCCCCCGAGATCAAAAGATCGCGGTCGCAGTTCCGCGAAACACCGGCGCGTTGTCAGGGCGAATGATCGATAACGGAGGCGACGAAATCTCCCTTTGAAAACGACCCAAACCTTCGTTTTCCACTTCGCTTGTATGCAGTTTCGCGTTTACAAGACATCCCCTCGCGACCGTACACGGCAAACACATGTCGATCGATGATCGATATCTATCCGACGATCGGGCGCGCGAGCAAGCCGTGTCTGCCGAGCAGCCGTTTTTTCCTTTATTTTTTGACCTTTCGGAAACGATTCGCTTTCTGTCCGGTAACGCGAGTTTCACTGCCGAAACTGTACAAGGTGAACGCAGTACATAAATCAGGATAATTCCCCCTCTCGCTGAAATGGTTCGCTGCGTCGATGATGTACAGGCCGTTGCAAAGTATGCGTACTCGATGATATTTACTGAAACTATGTTTCCTATTAATCTTAGTTTTCAGTGAAACTTTTGGAAAGAGGTTCCTGAATGTAGAAGATGATTAGCAGGTCGGGTATTAAAATTCTGGGTAGCTAGTTCGGATAGAAAATGTGCTGATACGACCTGTTGTAATCGGAAGAAAGAATCGTTCGACTGATCGAAAAGTTAGAAAGTCTGATTGCGTTAGCAAACGTTCCTGCGTCCTTGATTCAAATACCTTCCACGGTCCGTCAATTAAGGAACGAAAAAAGAAATTTAATTTATATTGACGATATTCCTGGTGTTGTTGAATTTTCGCGAAAACAAATTCTGAACAGTTGCTGTGACTTTGGACCTACTTGTACATGATTCGTAAATCTGGAGTGCCGATCAAAGTCCCCCCGGAGAGCCTGTAGAAACTTTAAATATTATAAAGTCATCGTTTACTTTCGGCTCCGTTCCTGGTCGTAAATTCCCTCGGATAAAGCCGATCGGGCGAGCTTGGGGTGGGGAGGAGCCGTTTAAAAAAATTATTCGCGAGCTTCGGCCGGCGCGCAGCTCCTACGTGCGGGGCTGTCTCGGCTAAGGTCGTAAACGATAGGACGCGAAGGAATTATGAAACGGGAATGTGAGAAATGGCCTACAGGTGGCTGCTTAACAGCTACCCGAGATTCAACCCGGAGCTACCACAGAACCATGGAAATCGTTTTTCAGCGAGACGTACAATCTACTTTTATTGCACGACGCCCACTCGTCTAGCTGCGTGGCAGCCTGTCCTTTTTCCTTCGACGTAATAACCAGGAATCCTGGCTAGGAAACCGCGTTTAAAGTTTAGACCCCGCTAGAGGCCAGGAGAAACTGGCTACTTTTCAGACAAGTCAACAGCAACGCGATCCCGATGACGTTTTCTATTATGCTGGAGTCAGTTCAGTTTAATCTCAATCAATGTTTAATCAAATGGTGGCACACCTGTCCCTTCCGTTAACTCGATATTTTATGTCAGAGGCAATTTCAACCATCTATATCAGGGGTGGGCAAGTTCTTCGATAATAAGATCTACATAGAAATAATAATACTTTTCATACATTTTCGAATGATCAAGAGCCACAGAAATAAAATATTCTGATACTGGTATATAATATACTACTATAATCTCAGTATCCGCTAAAAGATGGGCGTACAAAAATTGTAGGTTTGTTATAAAAAAATTGAAGGTGACTTTGAAAACTTTGGAACAAAAGGTGAGATTTTGTTCGCCTAACAGATATACAGCAAAGGTGTATAAGAACTTGATGACGTTTATTCAGCATGGAATATTATATTATTCTATAATTATACATGTTCATTCCGCAGACAATAGACCATAGATTACACGAGATCTTTCATCTGGTTACTAATTTTGCCTGTTCTTCATTCAGCCAGTATTCAGTAGAATATGCACCGTCCTATGTCAGACATCTCCACAGATTCACGATAGCTACAGACTGTTCCACACAGACCATTCCTATTGCAATCTGTACACGGTTCAGTTTCAGCATTACTTTCATTTGTTATCTTATACAAATAATATGGGAACAATATTGTCCTTCGTTTCCCAAGTGGTCGCCGCAACGGCGGCTCGTTTTTGCATTACATAAACCGTAGATGGGTGTCAGGCATATTAAGTATTCCCGGTGAACGGTGTGTTACGGTATACGCGTACGCGTATATTGCCCGTGAACCTAAAGTTGTTCGCGCCGTCTTATACCAGAACAACTCGATTATCGAGACCGCACCGAGAGTTATAACGAATCGTTCCCCTCCCCGGTATAATCGGCCGATCGTTGAACCGCGTTCTCCGTGGTAAACTTGACGCCGAAACGAGAACAAACGATACACAGTGCGCACGAACGTTCTGTAATTATCGGCGAAACATTAGGCACAGAAAAATCTAGTTCCTGTTAGATAACATCTGGTGAAATTTTTCCTCGGACTTTCTCGAAATTTTATTGAAGATTTTATGTAACGGGTATTCGAAGTGTCTGGTCGTGAGGAAGCAAACGTCGGCCTGTAGTAACGTAACGCGATTCCATTTAATTATCTCTCCGAAGTTCCAGTTCCTTTTTCATCGATCGATGATCACCTCGCGGATGAGACTTTTTTGTCCGGCGGTGTTTCCCGCCAAACAAGGACCCACTACCACGGATCGTGAAAGTCTGTCGAATCCATCAGTGTCGTGTAATCACGGTTACATCTGCGCGCGGGGAATCGAGGCCTCCCGATGGCGGAAGGATCATCGAATAGAAAGCGAGAGACAGCGAGACGGAGAGAAAGAAGCGCGTCCGTAGTTCCGCGATGCAACCGGCTCTTCGACCGGCAGCCAAACACCGCGTGTGTGCCGCCTCGAAATCGCTGCCAGCAAGAGTATACACCTGCGAGTCGAACACACAGCAAGAAAGAGAAAGAAAATCGTTGGACAACAGGAACTTACGTCTCGAACGAAATCCTCGTGTTCGTCGTTGGAGGCCTCTTCCACGTTGATCCGGATTCCCGACATGTTCCGGGGTGTCTCTCCCTCGCGAAACCACTCCAGTAATCGACAATGCACACCCTTCGAGAATACTCGAATGGGGGATTAGAGTTCCTAGGTCTCTACCGTACCAAAAAAAAAAAAAAGAAACTTCGCACCTAGGAACCCCTATCACACTGTCTTCTATTTTCCCCGGGTTACCACCACTCCCGTGAAACTTCGGGCTGATATGGTCCCCGGTTGATGTTCACGTAACTCCACAAGAAACCCACTCGGGTCACGGTATATTTGTGCTTCGTGCGACTATCCCCGGAGAGGAGTTGGGTCAACCAAGGAGTACCCAGGGAGCTAAGAATGTCCACGAGCAAGAGTTCGTTGTCCTTTCTCTCCCTATCGAGAGCAGGACAAACGGTGGTGTCCCTCCGCCCTGGATGATCTCCCTCTGGTCCGTTTATCCTTCCGATGAAAAATCGTACACGAATTCACTGGCTTAGGTCTGATCACCGTGCAGACCCTAAAACCATCAGAGATGATTCCCCGTGTCTGTTACGTATCTGTACGCGGGTAAGTAACCGCGCGCGGTGCCGTTTTGCCCGTGGATGGATCGTCTCTCTCGCACGCGTGCGACTAGAGTCGCCGTCACATCTGGCCTTTGGACTGGCTGCCAGCACACGGCCAGATCGGTTTTATACCTTCGTATCTCCCACCCAGGGTGACGAGCGAGCGCGCTCACGGCACGTCGATCCTGCACGCGGCAAGCAGCAGCTCGCCACCAGCACCACCACGGCCGAGGAGAGGATCGATCCTTTTTCTTTTCTGCTTCCTTCCTCCCCGTATACGTGTACTGTGTTTTACCAGGAACACGCAGACAGGTAGGTGCGCTGGCTGGCCGATTTAGGCGCAAGGACGAGCCACGGAATAAGGAAAGGGACACGATCTTGTACCCTATCCACGATTCCGTTGTCCGAATGGTTCGATCCTCTCAGCCGGACGAACGCTTATCTTACTCGTCTTTCTCGGTTTTATGTACCTGAATAGAGGAAACCGAGGACCGCCTTGTCTGACACCTTTTATCTGTATCGTAACTCGTATTACATACAACGCGTCGAACAGAGCTATTAACGTTTCGCAGACTTTCCTGCTCGTCGTCCATGGTGAACGCTGGTATATTCCACGAGATTAGTCGACGACCGACGGATTTACAACTGACGCTTGATGCCTGAAACGCTTTCTGCGTCGAGACGGAGATTTCGATACGCGCGGTCGACGCTTTCTTATCCGCTCGAGTCGTCGCCTAGGCTGAATTAATTCATTTTCTTGGTGGTTACCGGATCGAGTTCAAGTCAGCGTTGGTTTCATCTTTTTTTTCTTTCTTTCTTTTTTACGTGGGCATCCAAGTAACGTTGGTTCCTCCGCATCCGATCCTCCTCGTTGCAAACCTGTTCCCCCGTTTCCGGCCAGGTATGCGTAGGCACGGAGAAGTAGGAGGGTTCTCAAAGTTGCGGTCTTTTCTCGTCGGTTTGGTCTCGTCTCCGGTTGATTTGTTTGGGGAAAGAAAAGAACGTCGAAGAAGGGTGGCGACCGTGTGCGCCTGATCTCCCTCGAAAGATGCGCGTCACTTCTTTGTTCACCCTTGAACACCGGTTCTTGGGGATGCTGGGTATAGGGTGTTCAACGAAATACGGGTACGACGTTCGGAATAAACTCAGGATAGATGAATAGTAAACGACTTGGATGCTTTGTGGTAGTATCAAGTTGTGAAAAATTGCGATCGGACTCGAACTTCCTCCCCAATTAGGATTTAAATACAGGTCATCGTACACCATTTTACATAATTCTCGTGTTATTTCTTGAATTTGTCTTTCAGCTGCTTAACTGCTAAATTTATATTAACACGTAGGGAATAATATAATCACAAGGAAAGAAAATCTCAACATTAGATAAATTCCATTTCTTAAAATCTTCTCTTTCTTCCTAACCCCCGGTAATCAGTTTGATTCCACTGGACTCTTTTCCACGACGATCGAGATCAAGCGCAGTCGTCCGTCAGGGCGATTACTGTCACCGGACATCGGAGAATTACTTTACGTTTCATAATCCCCGCTCGTCACCGATCCAAGTTGCGCCGCGTGGATCGCGTGGGAGTCGGATTCCCATGCAGGTAATCTCCTCTATCACGATAACGTCCCATTACGACAGGATTCACGACTTCTCGAATCCGGGTCACGAAAAGAGGCACCCGCGGATGATCGCGTGCCGACTCGATACGGGAACTGGATTTACGTCTTAATACTACCGTCGTCGTGCCCCAAGCAACATCAGCCGTCGTGCTTTGAATAACCGAGACGCATCAGCCTGGAAATTACCGGTCCCCCCTTTCTCGATCGGTGAAATGCAATCGTTTCGCTGCGTCATCTCAAGCTGAAAAGCCAAAACTACCGGTGCCCACGAAACCCGAACGCATCACGAGGAAACGCGGTTTTGCGTAATGTTTGTCGATCCTCTGTCCGACTAGTTCCGTAACCTTGAGCCCCACCTGGATAGCCTCCACGCTGGAGTCGGAACTGCTCGGCCCCCATAAACCCCTCGAACTTTAATCGCTTCTCGGAAGCTTCTCTCGGCGTCAGGTGGATCTTGGAGGCTGAGTCACTAGCACGGTCCGGTATATACGTTTTCCGCGACTACGAGGACAGAAACGGAGAACCCCATTCCATTTGCGTGGTGACGTCGCCGAACTAGATCGGGGTCCTACTACCGTGATTAAATATTCCGATCAGGAGCCATCCAGCGCGTGGTTCGCTCTGTTTCCGGCAAGGACTGGCTATACATGTGTGTGTCTGACTTGACTCTCGTAGCTTCCGTCCTGACGCGTCGCGCTCGTTTCCACCGAGGCCGTAAATCTAGCCGAACGATCTCGAATCATTGAAGCTAAGTATGTAGCTACTCTCTGCATCGCGCAGCCTCCGGCTAACTCCAAGGCGAGGGGAAACGCTCGTCTCTGTGTCGATCGTACGTGAAACCGATCACGGACGTCGTTTAACAGAATGAAATTCGTCTTCGAAACAGGGGGAACGTGTGGCGCGTGCGTTCTTGCTCGCGTTGCAAGCAAGTTCTCGATCCTCTGTGTCGGCTCCGGGGCCTACGCTGTGTGTGACCTTCCGCCGCGGCCGATTCTGCGTGGATTTTTCATAATAAAGAGAAAGGCGTGCGCCAGGTATTATTGAGTAATCGCGGAGGCAAGGCTGCGGGAATCGCGGGCATAAAGATAATCGGTATGATCAGCGAATAACCCGTTACTTAATCGGACGCTGGAGAAAGGTGATGGTGGTGGCGTGTTGATCCGTGATGATAAAACACAAGGGGGACCGGTTAACCTGTCGCGTTCTGTTTTCCGTGGGGTTTGTGCGTCGCGGAGGAGAAATTTGTGGAAATTTTTCCCGCGATCCGTTCATCAGGATGCGCGGGAGGATACCAGGAAAAAGCGTGTTTTTTTTTTACGCGAGTACGCTCGTTTCCTGTGCGATTACAACGGATAAAAAATATATATTCGACGGGGTTTACGGGTCGCGTGTAAGAAAATACCTATCGTGATTCCCGTAATCTCGTTTCTCGAGGCACCGATCCACCACACAGATTCCCAGGCGCGCGCGATTCTTCTTTTCTTCGTTTCAGCGCCTCGTAAATCCATATTGTGCCGAGCGAAGTGTAATTCCCGCTTGTCAACGGGAAACGTAATTAAAGTTATTAGCCGGGTTTCGTAATTTCACGATTAATCGTCGTGCCCGCGTTTGTCGTGTCTCGTGTACGTACTCATCGTATGAAAATTGGTTTCGCTCATTGGGCCGATTCTTTCGATCCTTTTTCTAGCTCAGCATTGGTTCTCCGTTGATTTAACCTTTCGCTTCTAATGGCGATTTGTCTTTTTCACGATAATTAATTACATCGCGTATGTGTAGCTTTTTTTCATCGTACGATTTACACGTGTGAAATGTTTAAGAAATTCTTGAATTCTGGATGGAACGACGGGCATAGGTAATGTCACGAGACGCTGGAAGAAACTTGTCGAAGAATGTTAGGTTTTACTGTTAGAATGTTTAATGAGGAAAAGAATATGCTTCGATAAAACAGGCATTTTAAAGAATTCACTTCGCTTGTTCGCAACAGAGAAAATGATAATGTACGTTTCACTTGAATAACTAATTGTTGGTGTGGAACTGTTGAACCGTTCAACAATGATTTCTGTCAGAAACTATTGAAACTCCAGGCAAACGTGTCAGAAAACATATTTTCTCGCCGTCAGAAACAGCAAATACGATGCAGAAACGCAGGTATACACACGTTTCATAACTATGTATTTTCCTTCCTCATTCCTGGAGTATTAACAAAACTTTCCCGAGACAAAATCATGAATGAAACTTTCTAAAACAATCAATATGAAGATTCAATTAACCCCGGTGCCCTTGTCCAGGCTAATGACATTTTCACGTACAAATTTCGTAAATACTGTATTTAATTTATTCGAACAATACAGATTGGTTAAAACGACACAGTTCCAGGAAAAATAGCACGATCAGTTCACCTGGCGTGATTGATTAACATCGATCTGGTTCTAATTTTGATCTCAGCGAACACTTCCGTGCCACCAAGTGCTACAATCGTTCCATAGTTAAATCCAAGGGAGGCCGAGTTGCTTGTCGATCATGGCGGAAGTCAATTCGTCGTTCCCTTTAGCAGGTTTTTTTATTCTCTCTACCTGCTCCTATTCGGCTCCTTTTAGCGTAGCAAGGTCAAGCTTTCGACAGCTTCCTGATCCATGTCGCGCGCGCCTCTGGGCTTCGTGCAGCCCCGCGCGATCTACCGTCTTGTGTGCGTGAGGAACTTACTCGGTACGCCTCTCGGCTGTTCGTGTGTCGATCATTTCCGATCGCGAGCAAGGTCGAAAGGGATTGGCCACGCCGATCCTTCCTCTCCACGTCCCTCCGCCCCGTTCGATTTACCATCTCTGTTCTCTTCGTCCCTGTCTCGAC